TAGTGTTGGATGCTTCCTATCTATCCTACCTACATTTAAAATTATGCCTATCTAACCTACCTATATAGCTACTTAATGTAATTGTGTGTGTGTGTGTGTGTGTGTGTGTGCGTGTGAGCATTCTTACTTAATGTTAAATTACAGAGAAAAACAGAGAAAAAAGAATAAAACGTATCCCAGCCAGGCGTGTATTCTTTGCCACTGAATGAATGAACGTAGCCTGACATCTTCCCTGATGAACTCCTCTGGAAGCTTCAACCTGAATAAAATGAAAAAATCTCATTTATTTAATTAATTTAAATGAAAATAGTAAAACGAGCCGCGGCGAAACCCACCAGCCGGAAAAGCCAGCCAACTGGCAAAAAAGGAACCGCAAAAAAATCGTAAAACAAACTCCAGCCAGGCGTGCATTCTTTGCCAATGAATAAACGAACGTAGCGTGACACCACAACCATTCTGATCGTCCACGATGAATTCCTCTGAAAGCTTCAACCTGAATGAATGAACCTGAATGAACCTAAATGAATGAAAAAATCTTATTTATTTAAATAATTTAAATGAAAATAGAGAAACGCAAAGAAGCCGACCGGTCGGCAAAGAAAAAAAACCTCAAAAAAAGGTATCTATATATATGACTCTATATAACTCTATATAACTCTATATAACTCTATATAACTCTATATAACTCTATACAACTCTATATAACCGTGCATACTACCACATTCAATCAACAAAAACCCCACTAAAACCAGGAACCACCGCGTACCTACTGAATGTATGGTGTGAAACAAAACAAAACAAAAACACAAAACGAAAAACACACCACAAAGTAGAGTAAAAGAATAGAAGTCCCTAACCTACCTATATAACTAAATTACCTTATGCCCTAGCCTACCTACATAATAAATTAATTTTTAATCTCACCTACCTATGTTTCATTAACTTAACTCAAGACTCATGAAGGAAGAGAAAAAAGAGTAAAACAGAACATAAAATACTACCACACAAACAAACATGATGTATGTATGTGTGTATGAGCAACCGCTAAAGAACCCACCTAAAATATAAAAAAAATACCACACACAAACTACAGGCAACATATATAACTCTATATAACTCTATATAATAAAATAAATAAAAAAGAATAAAACGTATTCCAGCCAGGCGTGTATTCTTTGCCACTGATTGAATGAACGTAGCCTGACATCTTCCCTGATGAACTCCTCTGGAAGCTTCAACCTGAATAAAATGAAAAAATCTCATTTATTTAATTAATTTAAATGAAAATAGTAAAACGAGCCGCGGCGAAACCAACCAGCCGTAAAAGCCAGCCAACTGGCAAAAAAGGAACCGCAAAAAAATCGTAAAACAAACCCCAGCCAGGCGTGCATTCTTTGCCAATGAATGAACGAACGTAGCGTGACACCACAACCATTCTGATCGTCCACGATGAATTCCTCTGGAAGCTTCAACCTGAATGAATGAACCTGAATAAACCTAAATGAATGGAAAAATCTTATTTATTTAAATAATTAAAATGAAAATAGAGAAACGCAAAGAAGCCGACCGGTCGGCAAAGAAAAAAACCTCAAAGAAAGGTATCTATATATATAACTCTATATAACTCTATATAACCATGCATACTACCACATTCAATCAATAAAAATCCCACTAAAACCAGGAACCACCGCGTACCTGCTGAATGTATGGTGTGAAACAAAACAAAACAAAAACACAAAACGAAAAACACACCACAAAGTAGAGTAAAAGAATAGAAGTCCCTAACCTACCTATATAACTAAATTACCTTATGCCCTAGCCTACCTATATAATAAATTAATTTTTAATCTCACCTACCTATGTTTCATTAACTTAACTCAAGACTCATGAAGGAAGAGAAAAAAGAGTAAAACAGAACATAAAATACTACCACACAAACAAACATGATGTATGTATGTGTGTATGAGCAACCGCCAAAGAACCCACCTAAAATATAAAAAAATACCACACACAAACCACAGGCAACATATATAACTCTATATAATAAAATAAATAAAAATAAAAAAATTATAAAAATAAAATAAATGAGATCAAGCAGACTGCTTCAAGCGAAGCAGAATGCCTGATCTGATTTTCATGTTGTCTCAGCTCCTATTTATACTCGTTTCAACCATACATTTTCATCATTCACATCAGTATAATATAAATTCATTATAAAAGCAATAGTAATCAGTGCTATACATGTACACACGCAGTTCAAATTTTTCGGGGAGAATTCAAAATAGTTTGAGACCACACCTTGCTTAACATACAATTCCAAGTCGAGCTAAGCCAAGCTAAGCCAATGTTCGTAGATTTATATATATGTACGCACGCAGTTCAAATTTTTCCGGAAGAATTCAAAATAGTTTGAGACCACACCTTGCTTAACATCCAATTCCAAGCCGAGCCAAGCCGAGCCAAGCCAGGCTGAGCCAATATGCGTAGATTTATAAGCGCTTTTATATTAAAATTAGCTCCCTTTATATACGAATATCCCAATATAACAAATTCTCCATCCTATTTTAAAAATATTCTTTGATGCTTTTTAATCAGTCAGGTCACCAAAATCATTATCGATATCGTGATAAAAAAATTTTTTTAAATTGTTTATAAAAGCTACTAGTATATAGCAAAAAGTTTAAATTTTTCTGAGAGAATTCGAAATAATTTAAGACTACACCGTAACACAATTGTACAATTTGAATGTGTAAATACAACATTATAAATGTATTATAACTACGTAATACGTATATATATCTATCTGTCTATTTCTTTATTTAGTTATGCCTACGTATGATATTTGGTCAAATTCATTTGATAGGAATCGAATAAAACCTTAATACAGGCTGATTAACTACCATGCAGTAAAATAACTACCGCTAACATGACGTCATTTTCTCTAACGATTTCACAACGAATTACCAATCCTATTTAATACATTTTATTTGATGTTTTTTAATTAGTCAGGTCACAATCATCATTATCGATATCGCAATGAAATCAAATTTAGAATTTTTAAAATTTAAAAAAAAAAGTATTTTTATTCATTTTATGGTACTACTTTGTTCAATAAGATACTGTTTGAAATATATAACTAGAATAATTAAGTAATTAAGTAAACCAAGGCGACCCTCACCAAGTTCACTGAGGTTGTCATGAAAATCGTGGGAATTTTAATTGAATGCCTTGGTTGGTTCGATTTTTTAATTTTTTTTTTTTTGTATTTCAATTTTTTTAATTATTATTTTTGTCTCTGAGATCTTTTTAAAGGACGCTTACAAATACACTAATAAATACATAAAAACGGGAGCTTTAAAAAATGAAGTTTCGTTTTTCTAACTAAATCTTGAAATATAATAAAATAAAGAAACTCTAAAAAAAACCACAGATAAATCAACCATGGAGTACCAGGCTTTAGGTTAGATTAGTTAGTAAATCGACACTTGCTATAATATAATAGATAGAATAATAAAATATTTGCTAATAGTATTGAGGACTTTCTTTTTGTTCTCCTTTGTGGAACTGTCTGCCCATCTGTCAGACAACATTCAACAACCATCTCTTCAACTGTTCAAACAAAAAGCATCATTTAAAAAAGCAGCATTTGTTTCAATTCAACAGCAGGCATTTTGTTGGAATCTAGATGTCAGCTCATCCTGAGCGCTCCAGTGCAAATTTTATGTATAGGACAGTGTATTAATTAATTAAATCAATGACACATTATTTATTATTATTAACATTTGTTAATTTAAAACAAGTGTAAGATTAAAAGATTAAAAGATTAAAAGAAGCAAAAAAAAATAGTCTTGGGGCCATTATTATTTTACAGAACTTTTGTTATGCAGTCCACAAAATATCTTTTTGTATGGTTTAGAAATGTTAATTAGGTTTGCAGGTTGGTATTACAAAATTGCCTATTTTAATGCACATTTGATGTAGAACTATCTATTAAAATATTTTTTATAGTTTATTACATTAAATAATTATAATCTATTCAAATTAAATTAAATTTTACATCACCTATGCCTTAGTCTTAGTCTATACTTGTGTAAAACTTTTGTTATCTATCATGATTTCAAACACTTTAAATAATGCTTTTTAAAAATATTTTATTTGTTCTTTTTTCATAATTTAGTTTTAATCAATGGATTTTGTTTTTTATTCCAGAAAAGAAATAAAATATTACCATGTTTGAAGAAAATTGGGATGATGTGGATGAGAATGTATCACACTCGAATGTGAATGTTGCAAGCAATTCTCCAATGCCACAAATTTATTATAATCAATCCGTGGTAAGATCTGCTCCAGATGAAGCTAATCATGATTGGTTTGATGAGCCAAAGAAAGACTTTAGTTCTTTCACAAAACAAAATCAGTTTCAACAACAAAAAGATAAATCTGATAGGGATAGTTTTATGAAACGTGGGTTTAAATCTGAAAATTTTAAAAGTCAGTCGTCTGCTGCAAACAAAGTTCTTGAAATGAAAGTACCTCAGTCTTCTGTTGGCATGATTATTGGGAAAAGTGGAAGCAAAATCAAAGAAATTCAAGAAAATACGAGAACTAGGATTAGAATAGAAAAATCAAAAGTTGATTGTGATGGTAAAATTTCTGTTTTCATTAGTGGTCAAGAAGATCATGTAGCTGAAGCGGAAAGACACCTAACAAAATTAGTTGAGTCAAGCAATTCTAGAAAAACTAGCTTTGGCAACAGTTCAAGATTTACACGACAGAACAGAGAGGAGTGCTCTGACGGGAATGCAAATTTTGAAAAAATTGAAGAGAGAAATAAGTCGAATAATGATGGTGTTGATGCTGCACAGAAACCAAGAGTGAACTGGATAGAAGCTAGGAAAATATGCAAAGCTTACATGAAAGTGATAACTTGATGCATATTTATATCGTTGTGTGTATATTTTATATATTTATATATATATATATATTAATATATAAAATTTTATTCCAAGGAAGAACTTGCAAAGTTGCCAAGAATAATAAAAGACTTTTATGTAGAGCACCCGGAGATCACTTGCCTTTCTCAGCAGGAAGTTGACGAAATAAGGAAAGCCAACCAGGATATAGTTGTAGTTAGTTTAATAGGAATCAATCCAGACAGTGACGATGAAGATGAAGGTGCTGCGAAGTCACCTGCCAGTGTACATATCCCAAATCCAATCACGTCCTTTAATCAGGCTTTCAGTCAATATCCTGATATTATGAGGGAAATTGAGTTCAATAAATTTGTCAAGCCGACTCCTATACAGGTTTTCAAATTTTGAAGCACTCGATTTGTTGAGTGCCACATTTTATTAGCACTATTGAAATATTTTATTAAATACTAATGAACCAACTTGAAGATGCAAGCCTGGCCGATCATAATGAAAGGCCATGACCTGATTGGGATAGCTCAAACTGGGACGGGCAAAACGTTGGCATTCCTTCTGCCCGCATTTCTGCACATAGAAGGGCAAACAGTTGCCCGGGACCAAAGAGGTGGACCGACGGTGCTCATCCTCACGCCAACTCGTGAACTGGCCTTGCAAATTGAGCAGGGTCTCCTGAATATTTAAAAAATTTTTACCTTTTCATTTATTTTTTCATTAATACACTTAACATAGATTTTTCGTTGTTTCATCTTGGTTAATATTTAAATAAAACTTCATCTCGACGTTATTTTCAATAGTTTCGGGCATGAGCAAAAATGAGCATTCTACGACTTGATTGATTTTAATGTGATTGATTATAATGATGAGAGATGTTATTATCTAGATAACTTAATAAACAGAGGTTAAAAAGTACAAGTACCATGGTATCAAATGCCTTTGCATCTATGGAGGAGGCAACAGAAAGGAACAGATAACAAACGTCAGTGAAGGGGTCGAGATAATTGCTGCCACCCCTGGCCGACTTTATGATTTAATTGTTAATAAATACGTCTCAGTGAAGAGTGTCACATACCTTGTACTAGATGAGGCGGACAGGTCAGTCAGTTATGTAGTCCCATAGTTTTGTTTTTCTCTAATATTCATTCTTCGCTTTTTTCATATATTTTCCTTGTTTCAGAATGTTAGATTTAGGATTTGAGCCTGAGATCAGAAAAATTTTGGTTGATGTGCGGTCAGACAGACAAACCATAATGACCAGTGCAACTTGGCCCGAAGGGGTGCGGAGGCTGGCCGCCTCCTACCAGAAAGACCCCATCCAAGTAAATGATTCTATGCTTGATTTGATACTATGGTGTTGTTTACTCACATGAACTGATGTCATGATGTCGTCTACTTACGTTATGTCATTGTCTTTGCTTACTCGGGCTGATTTAGAGTGTCTAGTGATAATGTAATGTGGTAGCGTGGTGCAGTATAAATTTTAAATTGATTATTCATTGTTTTTATCGCTGTTCATTAATTTCTGCGCCTGATCAATGCTTGCATGAGTCTTTACAGCTCAGTATATTCTAAGGTTCGGTATAAAAAAAATGAAGAATGTTGTGTTTGTGAACGACAAAATTTTAATGTTTAATTAATAGTTAAATGACTGACACTAGATAATAGTAGCAATATTGCTTGCCTTGGATAAGGTGTTCATAGGAACGCTGGACCTGACGGCAGTGCACTCCGTTACTCAGAGGATTTGCATCGTGGATGAGAAGGAGAAGCTCGACGAATTACGATATCTCTTGAGTAGTGAAATCGATGAAAATTCAAAGGTTGATGATGGTGGTGTTGGTAGTGATGTTGATGTCTGCGGTGTTGGTCAGGATGTTGGAAAATATAAAGCTTGGCATGGTTTTACTTGATTATAATTCCCATGACTTCCATGCATGCATGCATGCAGGCTATTGTCTTCATGGCTCGCAAGGCGACGGTTGATTATGTCTCTGCGGAGCTTTCAATTGAAGGAGTGCACGACTGCCAATCCATTCATGGGTCGAGGGATCAGGAGGACAGGGAGCAAGTAGGTAGCCGGAGTGGGGTGTGGTTTGCAAGTCATTACGACGGAACTTAAAATGCATGGTGATGGTGACCCCGCAGGCTATCGATGATTTGAAATCAGGAAAAGTTAGAATTCTACTGGCGACGGATGTGGCCTCCAGGGGGCTCGACATAAAAGATGTAACGCACGTCATCAACTATGACTTTCCCCATAACATCGAGGAGTACGTGCATCGGGTCGGCAGGACGGGCAGAGCCGGCAAAGAAGGGATTGCCATCTCCTTTCTCACCAAATTTGATGATAAGTATGCCGCTGAATTGATCAGGTTGGAAAGATGTTTTCAAAAGTTTGAAAGTTCATAGTTTTACAGAATTTCTTGAAAGTAATGTTAAATGTGGAAATTTCATTTAGCGTTTTTGAAGTCTGACAACAAATTTATATTTATTCGCTAACTGAGATATTTTATTTTAAAGAATTATGGAGGAAGCGAAACAGCATGTGCCTGATGAACTCTACAGGATGGCTAATAAGTTGGTGGTTGCATGTTGATGTGTTGTTGTTGGTGCTCTGTTGACTGCTTCCATGTTTCTTTGTCATTCAGAGATTGGATTAACTTGCGTAACAGCACCATTATTCATTTTTTATTTTTTATTTTTATAAAAATAACTAAACAGATATGAAGAATTTAAAGAGAGAAAGGAGAATGAACGTATGGAGGGTAGAAATGCTGGTGGGTGGAGAGGGAGAGGGAGGGGGAGGGGTGGAAGAGGAGGGCTGCTCTTTAAATCTGCATTCGATTTCATCTAACGCTCCTGGCTACAATTCTTACTAATTGGTTTCATGTAATTTTTGCGTGCTTGCACTGTGCACTTGTATCTCAATAGTTTTATATTCAGGTTGAAGAGTCATCACACGGTATGCTAGGGAAACGTCAACCTGTACTATATTTGTATGTTCTCTATACTTAATTTGTATGTACTTCTTTGTATTTGCACTTTATATGTGTATGAAAGAAATAAAAATGCATATATTGCACGTACTTAGCGAAGTTATTTAGATATGCGTTCGTTGATATTTCTAAATTAAAATCATGAACCATTGAAATGTAACTACTTGCATTCCTTATTTATTAAACGTTCAATTTACGTAGAACGTCAGACACCGACCAACCAGGAAATTTTTTTGTTCGTTTGAGTCGTCGTTTTTTTTTTAACTTTGAAGTTTTTCTGTTGGAACTAAGAGTCTGTCCTTGTTTTACTGCATTGTGAATGTTGCAATTGCAAGAGTTTCCTTACACGTACGGTTGAATGGGCTGATTTCACAAAAAATCTTTTCATTTAGAAAAATATTTATTTTTTTTTTGTTTGTTTTATACTTCCATAATAAAAAAAGGAGTGTAGAGTAAGTTTTCTACAGTAAAACGTTTGCCTGAGATGTTAGGATTTGAAACGAAACATAATTTTCCTGCATTACAAAACAACACCAGTGTGACTGCCTGGACATCGTTTGTCACATTCGAACAGTTATCTGGTAGAAGGCGGATTTCAGTAGCACAACTGAGTACTTTACATAAGATTTATATTTAGCGCGTACCAAGTTATTGTTGAAATTCTCGTGAAGAATTGTTTTAAGTGTTTAATGTTTTGAATAATTTAACATCAATCGCAATTTGTCATTTCATTTCGATGCTAACAATCCGGGCAGATAAAGCTTCTAACTTGTAAATAATGTACGTGAAATAGGCATAAATGCATCCGTGTTGTTGCTAATTCCCAGTTTTTATTGGTGTTCAAAAGTCAGCCAAAGTGTTTGATAACGTATGTTTGATATAGTTCTTAAAAATACTCTAAGAATGGCTAGGCTTGTTTGGTTGGTGTTCATATTTATTTGTCGCCAGTTTAAGATTTTAAATGTTTTTTAAATTGGTGTGAATAACTAGACACTCAGATATTAATTGTATATTTTATTAGTTTTATTGAACCTAAATACCCCGGTTTACGATCGTCTTCTTGTTCTCACTTCTTCCTAACTTGTGTTAAACACTCTTGCTAAATCTGCATTTGCTTTTTCTAGTCTTTTTCTCTGGAACTCTCTATTTCCTTCTCTACTTCTCCATCACTTACGAAGTTCAAAGCCGATCTCAAGACCCATCTGTTTGTAAAATTCATTGAGGAGCGCTGTTGAACATCGCGGAAATAGCGCTTTAAAATCTAATTGATTGATTGACCTCCAGGTCTAAAAATCTCACCCTGGAAATAAATTTTCATTTCAACTTGCTTCAAATTTAATGATTCAAACAATTTATCGTTACGAAGTCATTTTCGTGTTATATATTAACTACCGAATGCATTTTTATTGGCAAAATAATAGTTCCGCTTTCCCATAAATACAATAGCATTGTTGTCGGTAGTGCCAGCAACACTTTCAAAAATGAACATCTCTACCACCGGTATTGCCGATGAAATTGTTGAGTGTTGTTAACAACCGTGTGTAGGTGTATATGCAATAATAAGAAGCAAGAAAATAGCTGAAGGTAGCTGAGAAGATTTTAATCGGTCGTTTGATGAAAACGACGGCAACGATGAAGATGATGAAGGTGACGATATTTCAAGAACTCGAGCAGCTTCAATGTCACACAAACATGTTGTCACTCTGGCTGCTACTGAATGAAGATTCTTTAACTTTCTGCTTAATGACGACTACGACGGCGATGATGATGATGGTAAAGATAATAATAATAATAATATCAACAATAATAAGAGTGATAATGATGATAATGAAAAATTAAGAAAAAAAGAGGTACTGCCAGCATTGAAATTCCATCGATACTTTAAATAAATTCTGCTCAATAACTCTGTACACAAAGGTACACACACTTACATACATACATATACACACATGCATACACTCAAATACACACACATACATACACACAAACATGCCTACACTCAAACATGCACACACATACATACATATTTTAAGTCTTAAGAGCTTGATGCCAGCCAAAGATTTAAACACTCGGCACAAATTGATGCAACGCTTGCTTGACTATTACCCTTGGGAGTTCTGAGTGAGGATGATGACGACGATGATGATGTTGACGAATATGACGATGTATGATAATGGTAGTGATGTGATGATGGTGGTGGTGGTGTGGTGGTATGACAATTATGCAGCAGAGGAACGCATATTATCCAATATCTCACTTCAAATTGAGCGTGATAAAATTTATAAATGCCCGCCAAAAACCAACGCATCATCATCACTTATCTCATCAGTACCATCATCGTCGTCGTCGTCATCATCATACTAGCGATAGCGAATTGAAGAAATATTAATAAACGAACAAATACAACTTCTGTATAAGCAGCCTAACTAAGTAATATAACAAAAACATTTCAGCAATTACGACAAGTAAATGTCAATAGGACTCTTAATACACGCACATCCCTATTCTTGGGGCCATCTCGCTGACATCCTCAGATTACGTCAGCACTCGAACGTAAACAAACCAATTAGCATTCTGCCAATTGTTTCTGTCGCTAAGTTTTATTCCTTCTTTTTCTCTCCTTTTCTCTCTTTCTCTTTCTTTCTTTCTCTCTTTTGATTTCTTCTTCTCTCTCTCTTCTTTACCATTTTTATCGTGTTCTCTCTGTCTCTCACTTTTTTGGTGGTCGGTCGGGTGTTGTCGCTCTCTATATTAATCTTCAAACAATTTTTGCGACGCTGAAAGAAAACAGTATGTTGAAAGAGCATTTGTAAGTAGATATTAGTTAATTGTATGTATGTGTATATATGTGTGTGTGTTTGTTTGTACGTATGTGTGTGTACGTCTGTATGTTTGTCTGCACGCACACGCACAGGCGCGTATAATTACATGCATGCACGAACGCAAAATAGAAAAACATCATCCGAAAATAATGATTTTGAAAAGATGATGATTATGGCGATAATGATGATGACAGTAATGATAATGATAACGACGATGAAGATGGTTATGATGATGATTCTGTGTACTCATTGCTCTTGAATTGCACTTGACGGGCTTGTTGTGAAGACCATGTGGATGGTGATGATGATGATGGTGATGATAGTGATGGTGATGATAGTGATGATGATGATGGTGATGACATAACGATAGCTATCCGTTTTATCATTTTTGAAACAATTAAAAAAGTTATGTTTGGCAGAAAAGAGCAGGGGCTTGGTCATTTTGGTTCCAACTTATCTCCACACGAGAGGTGAGTGGGAATTGAAATTTGTTCCCGATTCCCTCCGATTTTTGTCTCATCCCCGATTCTCTTTAGATTTCCCATTCATGACAACGTTCCCGAAACATTCGGCTCAAATTTACTTTTAATTGAATAAGTATTATAAATTCATTTGAAAAATGTTGTCAATTTTTGTATAAAAGAAATTTGCCTTCATCCTGACTCCAATCACTTTCACATAAACGTACAGTGTTTCAATTAAGTTCAAATAAGCTAGTGATAAACACACATCTGCAAGAACATGCACACATACATATACACATACGCAAATTTACAGACGCACATACAGAGACGCACACACACGCAGAGAGACGCACTTGCACGCAGACTTTCATTCTAAGTTACTCATCTCATAACGCAATAATAATTTGAATCACGTAGAAGACAGGCATGGGAAAATGTATTATCGTCCACGGATGGTCCAATATGGCGACTGTGACGTAATCATAAAGATGAATTGTTCCTTTGTCTATGTCCCATTTTCTATGGTGTGCGGTTGGCAGACTGGTCGCACAGGAATAACAAAAAGTTATTTAATTAATTTATATTAAATTTGTCTGCTTCAATGATTTCTTCCTCAGATGCTTCGTGACAAGTTGTTACGAGAAATCATTCATTCTTCAGTTGCACAAGTCACAAACAGCAGAAGAAATATCTCTAATTTTCACAGAGATAAATGAAATCGTTAGTTTGTAGATAAACAACAGATAGGAAACACCGCCCGCACTGACTGCAGTCACTGATGTACATTGCTGAGATAAGACAAGATGGAAAAGAGAGTTATAATAAATTGAAAAAATGATCAAACGGATCACATGATCAAAAAAGTCCATAAAAAAATCATTTTTGTGGAAAATGAAACAACAATAACAAAAATTAATCAAAAAATAGAAGTAGTGATGGGCAAATCAAAAGAATATTAATATAATGTTCATGGCGATGGGCGATATTAAATTTCAAGCGGACGATCAGTTGAGCAGATGTTACCAGCATATTGAACTAATAAGTCGCTGGCGTCAAGCGCTATATCAATAATACGTCGGTGATGATGATGATGATGGCTACAAAGTTTGCAGTATTAGTAGTAGTCGTTATAGAAGGGGCTGTTATTGTTGTTGTTCAAGTTATAAGGGCAGCAATAGCAGTAGCAGAAGTTGCATTGTTATAAAGGACGAGTTATGCAACTCAACTGGAACGGTTAAAAATATGTTCTTCGTGTATGTATTTAATTGTAAAAATGTAATTTAATTGTAGAGAGGTGTGAAGTGCGTTCCTCTG